TTTTTTTGAGGGGGTGGGGCTGGGGTTGCGCCACCCCATGGCGCTTCCCAATCCCCAACCCCCCTCCCCACTGGCCGACACGCGGCCTCAAAGCTGCGGGGTCGCGAACCTGGCCGCGGCCGCGGACTTCGCCTCACTTGGCCGCCTCCGGGGGGGATTCATAGCTTCAGGGGGGAGAGCACGCATATGGGTCTTATTTATCCCTATGAAACACGTGTCACTAACTTTCACATCCGTGTTCGCTATGATGGACCGTTGGCTGGCAGTGAGGTCGGCGTTGGAGAGGACGGTGGACGGTGACGGTTGGGGTTTGGTTCTCTGGGACAGTATCTTGCTCAGTTGGCTCGGTGGGTTCGGTGGCAGGTGCGGCATGGTCCTTGGTGGGATTCCATGGGCATCCTTGTCCGCATTATGGAGCCCGTGTATGACATGCTTCACAGGTTGGACCAGGGAGGGATGCACATGTCACGGGTTGTGCAGTGGACGAAGGACGCGACCCACGATGTGGCACGGGAGGTCCCTGCACTTCCACCGGATGTTGCGCAGTTCATTATGCAGAGAGTGCAGGCTCGGTGCGCTCACATGTTGGAGCCGGCGCACGCCATTGCTCACCTTCGCTGTCTTAGTCGGCGAGACTTAAGGTAGTACGAGGGCGTGGTCAACGACTACAATGCGAGACTCGTGCGGGAGGCATAGACGTACATCCTCACACAAACCGGGTTTAGTGTCATGAGCCCCGATTACGAGGCCGCATGTGCTCAACTGCGTGACTTTCACACACAGAGAGGGGGGGTTGCGTGGGGGGGGAGGGACACAGACAAGGAGGCACAAAGGTGCACCGGCAAGGTGGAGACGTACGAGGCCGGTTATTGGTGGTCGAAGTGGGGATAGTGCGCCCCGCAGCTGCAGACCATCGCTCTTCGTGTCATGTACATGTGGAGGTGTTCCTCTCCCGCAGAGAGGAATTGGGCCGTCCACTAGGGTGTACACACGAAGAAGCATAACAAGCTCGAGTTCGAGAAGGTTGCAAAGTTGGTCGAGATCTCGGCCAACGTCCGCCTTCTCTCTCACCAGCGGGCTGGCAGCGGCTTTGCATTGCCATGGACGGTCGATGAGTCGATGTTGGATGTGGAGGGAGGCATCATGACTCAGTCGTCGTGGCAGGGGACGGACGCCAGCTAGACGTAGGACGACCGGGAGAGGCAGAGACATTCGTGGATGCGAGACTCGTGTGGGTTGAGAGCTCCTCCAGGAGAGGTTGCAATTTGGGACTCAGACTGCCACGTTACACCCCTACCCCAGAGACGATGACAGTGATGATGGGGGCCCTGAGGGGGAGGAGGAGCGGGCGGGACTTGGTGCCCATCCGGCCTCACAGGAGGCTGATGAGTGGAGCGACCCGGAGGACGTCCGCAAACGTAGTGGCGGGGGTAACCTGTTTGATGGAGGTGACGGGAGCCCTTTTGTGTGAGAGAGGCCTCCGTCTCCGGGGCCTCGGTCTGTCGATACGCACGCAGTGCATGGATCTGCACGTTCAAGGGAGACAGACTCAGCTTGCGGTGGCGGCGTTCCTGGGCAGCATCCGGACGTATTCGCAGTAGGATGGCTTCATCCGCCGTTCTTCCCCCTCCGTTGGGAGAGCTTCATTGAGGCTCGCCCCCGAGAGGCCGTTTACATAGATTGGTGAAGGGCCCGAGACAATGATTAGTAGTGCTCCGTTGGCAGGAGATGGACGTGGTCCAATTGAGGAGGCGGTTCACACAGACGCTCTTGGGGGACGTCGTGATGAGGGGATATCGATGGGTGGTGGTGGAGGGTTTAGTATGTTTGGTGATTTGGGACCGCCCCCCGGAGAGAGCGATTCTCGGGGGGACTTTAGTGTCGGCATGCATGCCATATTAGAACAGATCAAGGCCATGCACCCGAAGACTTTCACCCGTGCCATGCACGGAGAGTTAGGAGCGTCGCCAACGGGGGCAGAGGTAGATGAGGACGTCACACCCCCTGGAGAGACATCTGCAGAGAGGCTGGACATACTTGATAGTCGCCGAGCTTGCCTCCTGGCACGAGCCGACCCCAGGACGCAGGAGTTGGCCCGTCTAGCAGCGGAGGAGCGACAGAGACAGTTGGGGACGTTTGTGGAGATGCCCCCTAACACACAGGGGGAGGCAGCTGTAGTCGAGGCAGCTTTGGCAGGGACGCGGGGGGAGGCAGCTGCAGGCGAGTTGACTTCAGCTGGGATGCAGGGGGAGGCAGCTGGAGGCGAGGGAGCAGGAATGCAGGGGGAGCCGCAGGGGTTGCATGAGACCGCGGTCGCAACACTCGTGGACCCGCGTCGAGTGCCCGACCAGCCTCTTTATGATGGGCAGAGGACCGAGGATGCTTTGCCTGAGACCGTGGGCATGCCTCTACCGACGGTTTTTATTGAGGGCGCCGTGCACATGTCCCCGGGTCTGGAGGACCCACAGACGGGTCAGTCAATGAGCGTTGATGATGTTCTACCGTTGGCACAGGCAGATAGGATAGTGTCGACCACGGGGGGGGGGGGGGGGGGGGGGGGGGGGGGGGGGGGGGGGGGGGGGGGGGGGGGGGGGGGGGGGGGGGGGGGGAGACGTCGGGGGAGACGTCGGGGGAGACACTACAGTTGGGGGGGTAGAGAAGCGAGTTCATGGAGATCCGGTGCCCACGGTTGGGAGGGGTCGCCATGCAGAGGTTGATAGCGGGGCTGGACATAGAGAGGAGGCGATCGGTACGCCTGATAGAGACAGACAGGCGACGTCATGGAGTTCGGTGGTCCACACGGCCATGGGGCCGGTGGTGCCACACAAGGCACCGTTTCCTGTAGAGCAACATGTAGGCAGGGGCATGTGCGCACCTCTGATCCCGCTTTTCGCACCGTCGAGGGAGAGGACACAGTCGAGGTATGTGCCTGAGCCTTACGGCACCCTTGCATTCGGCTGTATGACCGCCAAGGAGTTGGAGGCACACGGCACGATGGATTACACCGGGATCGACACCGGCTCGCAGGAATGGTATTGGGCGCCAGTCAGCACCGAGCTTACCATCTGGAGGTTCTACTGCAGCGCCCGCCGTTGTCAAACCCGATTGCAGATGTCCAGCCGCACGGTAGTCACACCCCGAGGTCGGCTGCCCATAGACAGAGAGACATGACCGACCATGAATGGGACATGATTTTATTCGGTCGCACTGATCGGCCATGGAGCGAGACGAGCCGGGTGACATCGGCGAGCGCGGGTCGTCAGTCGGGTTTGAGAGGGGTTTCCACGAGCGGGAGTCGTCGAGATGTTGTGGCGTCAGGGTTTGGTGATAGAGGTGTGGATAGTGGCGGCATGCATGCTGGACGTGAGGGCACATCCGATGCCGATGCAGAGGCAGTACAATGGCCACTGACGTATGGTTTGAGAGAGGCCTCCATCATTTTAGAGGAGCCTGAGGTCGGTCGACGAGCCAGGCAGGCCCGACACATGCCAGGCTGGCCAGACACGTGCCAATTAATCGACGCCAGGAGGGGGAGACTTCAGGGCCAGACGGTCTGCCTATGCGTCGCGAGTCTCGCCGATATGTTGATTTAGCAACCGCAGGTGTGAGACCAACCAGAGGCAGGAGAGTTATCATGGACGACGACCCCGACGACCCTCCTGAGCCTTCCACTGGTGGTCGCGGCGAGCAGAGACAGAGAGGTCGACCACGTGGTACTGGTCGGACACATGGACGAGCTTCGCATTGGTCCGGCCAGCGTTAGCCTGCAGATGAGGATCCTTGACAGTGTACATACTTTCGTTTGTTTTCTTTCTTTTTTATGTGGTTTAGTTTTTTGTTCTCCATGAACGGCATAGCACTCAGTGATTTTGTGCATTTCACTGTTCACACTTTTTTTTTTTCGATACTTAGAGATAGGCAATAGGGCGGGTCTTCGACATTACATGTCACATGTATTTTGATATTGTCCATGCGACACTGATTTGCGTTTTTTTTCTCTTTCTTTCTATAGTTTAGTTTACGGTTCTCCCCTGCATCGTGTTTCAGGATTTTTTGCAGATGGCACTTGGTTTCGTTCGATACTTAGAGGTAGGCAATAGGGTGGGTGTTTAACCCCACGTGTCAGATGTATTTTGCTACTTTCCACACTACACTGATTTGTGTTTTGATTTCCATAATATCTCGGCATTTGTGGTGTTCCTGTTTTATGTATGATGAGTGTTGCATGTGCTGTTTTATGTTGTTCCATATTTTTCTCGCTTCAACTGTTGTCATTTAATACGTTTGATAAACCAATGTGTGAACTTGCATTTAAGTACATGAATGGAGTGAGAATTGGATAAATGTGTGTATGTGTATCTATGTGTTTGTGTTCCTGCTCTCTCACAACACCCTAGTGCAACATCTCAGAAAACCAAAGAACCTTGTTGAATTATCCCTCCAAAGCCCCCCTCGACCACCTTCTACCATCCCAAATTGCACCACACGCGACCCAAACAAATGTCGATGCGTGGGTGCATAGCATCGACGGGGATAATGAAAAACCCCTACAACACAAAATATTAACCACACAACAACATTGAACTCCAGGGAGTGGTTTCAATTTCGGAGTGTTGGGGGATGGGAGGCGGTGGGGTGGGATAGGTGGGCCGATGGGGTGTGGGTGCCGGGGCGGAGCGGTTTGTGAGGCGGGGTATCGGGGGGTGTTTTTCAAGTACGTTAGGGGGAGGGGCCGACAGGGTGCACATAGCAAGATGCTAGCGACAAAGCGCAAAGAGTTTGATGATAGAAAGAAGTTGCAAGCAGAGGGGGCGAGGTTACACAGCGAGCTGCATGCACAAAAGGAAAAACAAGCGGCTACTGAAGAAAAACTCGCCCTCCTAACTGAAACAGTTCTCCATACGAAACAGGAAGTTGCTGCAATCAATAGGACCTTGCAGAAAGTTGAAACAAATCAACTGGAATTTGAAAATGTATGGAACATTTTTTTGCAGAAGTCCGCCAAGGACGTAGATCTGCACATTCAGTCCTATATCAACAAACTAGATGATCATCCCACTCGAACCTTCACTCCCGCCGTGATTGAGAGAATAGTGCAGGGCAGCGGCGGAGGAGGAGGTGGTGACGGAGACGGGGATGGAGGCGACGGAGATAAGAAAGGAAAGGGAAGACAGGGAGAAGAAGGAGCTGGGACCAACAACAAAATTAAAGTTAAAATTCCATGGACGTACACCGACAAAAGGGAAGAAAGCGTGTTGCATTGGATGGCGGTTGTAGAGTCTTATGTCTACGGACAATGGATTCCCTATTGGGATAGGGTCTTGATGGCCACTTCGTGCATGGCTGGTGACGCGATGAGTTTTGCCATCTCGTTACAAAAGGAAGCAGGATGTAGTTCGATGGTAGAGTTTTCCCAACAAACCCGTATTGAAGACTTTCTCAAAGCCGTCAGGGAGAGGTTCGAAGATAAGAATCTCGCCCGAAGAACAGAAATGTTAATCTTGAACCTTCCTGACAGGAAGTGGAAAAGCATGTCGACACTAAAAGCTACCATGGATGAGTTGTTACAGTGCACCGAGCATGGGTTAACCCCAGCTCAGATTTTGAACAGTTTTGCTCGCGCCTTACCTGATCCCGTCCGAACTCAGTTATATCCCCGCACTAAAGAGGAGGGGATGACCTATGAAAAATWTAGTAAGATTGCATTAGATCATGCAGGATTTCTGGCTGAAGCCAACTATTGCCACTATTGGAAAGATCTGCAAGGGGAAAACCGCACCATCTCAGGATCAATACATGGGAAAGACAACCTTCTTCTGATCTTTGAAGAAGGAGGTGTCGAATCACTTTCTTGGGACCAAATAGATTACGGTCTCGATGAACCCAACAGACCGGTAGCTCAGGAGGGGAGTTACGCGGCTGTTGCAGCCCGCGGGGGAGGGCGTCAAGGAAGAGGGCGTGGCCGAGGAAGAGGTCGCGGCCGTGGCGGACGAGGATTCGGCACCCAGAGGGGTGGTGGTGAAGGAAGCCACTACGTGGGAGGAAGGGGAAATGGTCCCTCATACGGTGGCCGTGGTTCTTACTCCACCTGGGGTAGAGGAAGAGGTTCATGGTACAACAAGTGGGATAAGCCATACCCACCTCATCCAGGCTTGCCGGAAGGAGAACCTTGGAAAGAATTGGGAATCACAGAGAAAGTTTGGGCCAAAAGAAAGAAGGCAGATCAATGCCTCAAATGTGGGGACCCCGACCACATTGTCCCCTATTGCCCTGATTATAGGGGGCAAAAGGGAACAACCAGTAGAGGTGTCAGTTGCCTCTACCGGAGCTTCGACTGTTGAAAAATCAGAATCCTCCCTGTCGAAGGCTCCACTGGCAGAAACTGAACAGGAAGGAAGTCCCCATCTAGTACACTGTCCAGAGGTGGCAAACGTATGTATCTCTCTAGATGGATCCCTCGCTAGCATGGGTGATGAGTTGGCCGCTCGTCGCCAAGCCTGGACTGAAATGCGAAAAAAGAAAGGACAACTAATAATTGCAGATCTTGAAGTAAACCGAACAAGAGTAGGAGGTATGATAGACAGCGGGTCTACACGCAGTTATATTAGTAAAAGAGGGTTATAAAAACTACGTCTTGGGCCTAAGGTTAGGAAGTTAAGTGAGCCCATTGTAAGTACGTTAGCAAATAGTAGTGAAACCGTTATGGATCGCTACGTCGAAGGGGTACAAGTATACTTTCGGCTTGAGGCAGAGGGGAAGGTGGAACGTGTTCTCCACTCTCTGACCTTCTTGGTGGAGGATAACTTGCCCTTTGATGTGTTATTAGGCATGGATTGAGGTGAGGCTGCGCATGCGGATCTAAAGTTAAGAGAACATGAATGTTGGCTTCCAAGTCCGCAAGGAGGTAAGAAGAAAATCCGCCTTTTTCATGAATCTGGTAAGGAAAGCAGCCTGACTCATTGTTGTATGAGCACCCCCGCGTTCGCCCGTCATGTGAAGAAGTATAATTTGTACGACCAAGTCTTTGTTGCATATGTGCGCCCAGTAAAGGAAGGATAAATTAAAGAAGAAGTCAGGTTTGAAGAAATTGAGAAAATCCTGAAAGAGTTCGCAGATGTGGCAGAAGCCCCAAGCGGTGTGGTGGAAAGACCAATCCGCCACCGCATTGATATCATTCCACGAGCGCGCCCCCGAAGGGGCCTATCTATCGTATGTCGCCCCAGGAATTGGAGGAGCTGCGAACCCAACTCGACGAGCTGTTGAAAAATGGTTGGATAAGACCTAGCTCCTCGCCCTATGGTGCGCCTGTGCTCTTTGTGCCTAAAAAGGACGGCGACGTTCGCATGTGTATAGATTATAGGAGGTTAAATGATATAACAGTGAAAAATGCCGAACCATTACCGCGAATAGACGATTTGCTAGATGGCGTGCAGAGAAGCAAAATATTTTCAAAGATTGATCTGAAATCCGGCTATCAACAGATTGAAATTGAGCCGGAAGACCAACACAAGACTGCCTTTAGGACAAGGTATGGRCATTATGAATTCGTAGTTTTGCCCTTTGGTCTAACGAATGCCCCTGCTACTTTCCAAAGAACGATGAACGAACTCTTTCATGAATGGCTCGACAAATTTGTTGTGATTTATTTAGACGATATTTTAATTTTTAGCAAAAATGAAAAGGATCACGCTGAGCACCTTCGACATGTGCTAAATAAATTGAGAGAAACAAAACTCAAGTTAAATCCAAAGAAGTGTGAATAGGCTAAGCGTCAGGTGTTATACCTGGGACATGTGATTAATGGAGATGCCAAAACAACAGTAATCAGAGATTGGCCAAACCCCCGCACCTTGACTGAGTTGCGGTCGTTCTTTGGGTTAGCCAACTACTATCGAAAGTTCGTAAGACACTTTACGATAATAGCTGCCCCCCTTCGTCGATTGCTTAAGAAAGAAGTAATTTGGAAGTGGGATTCAGACTGCACTATGTCCTTCAAGCATATGAAAAAGTGTTTGATTAATTATCCGGTTCTTAAAGTAGCGGACCCTTCCTTACCTTTCGTGGTCACGACTGACGTTAGTCAATATGGTATAGGTGTTGTACTCCAGCAAGATGATGGGCATGGGTACAGGCCTGTAGAGTTTATGTCTTGCCGCTTACCTAACGAGAAGGTGGCCGCTTCAACGTATGAACGAGAGTTGTATGCTCTACGTGAGGCTCTCAATCATTGGCGACACTACCTTCTAGGCAGRCATTTTAAAGTATACTCTGACCATGAAACACTTCGCTGGCTTAAAATGCAAGCTCGAATGACACCTAAGTTAACAAGGTGGGCTGCAGAGATTGATATGTTCGACTTTGAACTGAAGCCAGTCAAGGGTAAGTATAACGTTGTTGCCGATGCACTAAGTCATAGATCAGACTTTTTCGGTGCTATCGTGACTTACCTAGATGTAGGTACAGACCTACAAGAAAAAATTAGAGATGCGTATCCTTCTGATCCTGTTTATGGAACCATGATTAAGCTAGTGCAAGAAAAGCCAGCAGAGTTTCCCGATCATAAAGTAACTCAGGGTCTATTGTTTGAACGAACTGACGTGCATGATAGGCTGTGTATACCGAATAATGAGGAAATCAAGAGTATGATCTTAGGGGAATGCCATGATACAGAAGGTCATTTTGGGTGGAAGAAGACTTATGGGACCTTGTTACGCTCCTACACCTGGCCTCGAATGAAAGCGGATTGTATCGCGTGTGTGCAGGGTTGCCAAGTGTGCCAACGAAACAAAAGCACCACGCAATCGCCCCTCGGGCTACTTAAGCCCTTGCCTATCCCTACCGGCCCTTGAGACTCTGTCTCTATAGATTTCATGGACACTAAGGTAAAAAGCAGAAATGGGAAGACACAAGTAATGGTCATAGTGGATAGATTCACTAAGTTTGCTGTTTTTGTAGCTTTGCCTCCAGAAGCAAAGACTGAATTGGTAATTCGGGAATTCTTTAACCATTGGGTAAAAAACTTTGGACATCCCTTAACTATTGTGAGTGACAGAGATACCAGGTTCACAAGTGAACAATGACAGCAACTGATGGATGTATATGGTTCTAAGTTGACAATGTCATCAGGTAGGCATCCTGAGACTAATGGTCAGACTGAACAGATGAATAAGATCTTGCAGCAGACTTTGCGCATGTACATTCGTCCCGACCAGATTGACTGGGATGAACAKCTGCCTAAGGTTGCTAGTGCCTATAATAACTCTGTGCACCTATCCACGTGTAAGACTCCTATGGAGTTACATCTGGGATGGCGTCCACGCAGACCCATTGATCGATTGAACCCGGATCAAGTACATAAGCTTCCTGTAGGGACTAGTGAGTTTGCAGTCCAATATCAGAAAGACATTGAGAAAGTAAAAGAAAATATACTTAAAGCACAGCATCAAATGATTGAACAGGCAAATAAACACAAACGCCCGTCTCAATTTGCTGTAGGAGATTTCGTTCGGGTGAAGTCTAAAGAGTTTGCTCCTGAAGAGAACATCTCTCAGGAGCTTCTACCCACCTACCGAGGACCTTGGCAGGTTCTAGACATAATTGGAGATGTGGATGGTCCTTCGTATGTCATTGAGATTCCTCCTCATCTACGTACATATCTAGTGTCCATGCATCCAAGCTCTTATCTTGTGTAACGAATGAGTTTTTCCCAAGTCGCCGATCGGCGATACCTGGATGGGAAGTATGACGTGGATAAAATTGTTGCGGAAAGTACTTACCACACTGGA